CGATAAACAATCGTGAAGCAAATTCGTACAAAGTGGCCCCATTTCTCCCATGATTCCATCACGTAAATACATCATGTATAGGTACGCAATACTTATATGCGTATAGCCAGAGAGGAGCGATGAGTGGACGCCATTGTGGCAGACTCGCGGAGTCGGCCTTTGACATGCAAATCGGCTGACAATGAATTTCGTAAAACCTTTTACCGCGGAGTACGCGTCGCGCACAAGACGCCAGACGATTATTAATCACTGTCTTCTGCTCCTCCAAGTGTGGAGTCCCCCTGGCGAACCTGAAAAAGGAAACAAAGTTAGTACAAAATGAATAATGTTCTTCAGAAGATCTCCGTAACCCTTCGTTTTCTACATTACTTCATACTGAAGAATAAACATTATCAAATCATGAAAACATGTTACATGTTTTAAATATTTTTATACTAATCATGCAAACACGTAAACCTGAATTAATTATCATAATCGATTTATATGTATAAAGATGTTAACTGATATGAGAGAAAGAGTTTGCAAAAAATTATATCAATGAAAGTTAGTAGTAAAGTCGTGTGGAAATTATTAGGAACATGTAACAGGCATTAATACTTACAACAAGTTTAAGCAGTACTTTATAAGTAAAAAGTTCGATTTTATGGAATCGAGTGAAATGAAATAACAAAATAAAAGAACAAAACTTCGTGAAAAATAAAAGAACAAAACTTCGTGAAAAATAAAAGAACAAAACTTGGTGTGTTACGAGCATCAAATCAGTTTATGTATTTCTGTAATTCATACAATGTTTCTATGATAAGAGATTATTCTCCTCAAATGAAATCTGTTGAAATCTCTGCCTGATTTGCGAGCCTCGTCGCATCTTATCCAACGATCCGTCTTATCCAGTGATTGATACGAACGTCGTGTCGGTTGCCGGAGTTAATCGCCGTCGAAACGACGGATCGCGGTACGTGACGGGGTTGCGAGGAGAAAACATGAGTGGAACGGGGTGGGCTGAGGAAGGGGATGAAATCGAGCGCCGCGAAACATCTACCATCAGGGAATTCGGGGATCACGGGTTGCATTACCTAATACTCGAAAGAAATGATTAGGATTAGACTTAAATCACGTAACGCCAGCAAACAGGAATTTTTTAAACAACGTATTTATTTGCAATAATTAAATGGAAATTGTGTGTGTGTGTGTAACAGTTCTAATTGTTTAATATAAATACAGTTCATTGGACTTG